ACTATGGATTTTCTTAGCAGAGTAACAGTTTACTCTGCTTACCGAAAAACAATTTTCTCATAGACGTCAATGGAGGAATTGCTTTTTAGTAAGCAGAGTAAGCCCTTACTCTACTTATAGAGTCCCACCCAAAGCCTCGTAAGTGAAATTACAGTTTTAAATATTCTGTGAATAATACCTGTTTATTGACTTTTAACTAGTCCACTTAAGAAAAAGGAGTGTTATGTTTTATTATTTCGAAATTGTGTTTGCCCTTTTTTTAAAGGATCTGTACAACAGCACAACTCAACTGAGAAGGAGTTCTGTGTAAGTACCATAATCAGGACACTTACATGTTTACATTGTTAATAAAAATTACCAAAGGATTTGTATTGCTCTTTGATCAGTCCAATTTTCTACTATTTTATTCAATGTTGAAGTGTTATGCTCATGCTCTTGAAGCTTTCATATTGACAGTGAGTGTATTGTTATAACTGAAAATACATCATGTTCAAATAACCAAGACAAAAAAGTAATAATAATAACTATGGAAGGTAGACGTAGAGCCCCTAAAGATTCTAGCGGGCTATTAATAGAGCAGGAGATTAGAAATGTGACATTAGACATATTGCGCAATAAAGGACGTTCAAACATTAGACATCTCATTATAGGAAATGTGTAGGGAGATTGTTTATGCAGAACTAGCCACACCTCCCTGCATGTGACCTACAAAAAGTGGTTTGTGCCTAATAGTAGAAAATTGAGCAGTGAGACTGTACAGGCTTGATATATATTGATATATATATATATATATATATATATATATTTACCGGTTGGGTTCAACAAGGCTGGAAGGTACATTTCCTGATCCATAGAGACATTCTAGTTGACAAAATAGTGTACTACAAGCATTTGCACAGTGCGTGTCCTGCTTGGCTTTAAAACATATTCACAGAACTTTAGATTCCAAACCCTTGAGGTGGTTGCAAGCGTTTCTTGGTAGCTTATGCTGTCTCTGCGGGAAAGAAAGTTTCCCTGAAATAGAATCTTGTAATGGCAAGGCAGTGAGTGCTCATATACCAACTAACAGCTGCAGGGCATTTAATCCGGCGGAGCATAAAATGTTTACATCTAGAATCTTTCTGTGTCTTTCCTTGCTCCTAAATAATATTTGTCAGGTGTTAAAGTTTTCATTTCATTTCTGTTTTAACTCGTGAGATCCATTAGTGTCTGCATGAAAGTAAATAATTTATGTATTATCATGCTTTAGATTGCGATAATGTAAATGATTTTAGATATTGAAGATAATGCTGCTGTATAAATTAAGTCGAGCATGTAGCTGTGGCAGGTTTCTTTTTTAAAATTATTATAAGGCTTGAGTATCTAAAATGGTTATGTTGAAATATATATTATTACAATATCTATAAAATATTTTTAGTGCATGGCTAACCTCGTAATATGAATAGATACAGAAGTGTTTATTTAAAACCACTGATTCTTGTATGTACCAATATTATTCTCAATTTTCAATTGCAAAATTCTTTTACTTGCTATTTTCATTTTTGGCTGTGAATGCCTTATTGAAAAATAGGAATATTCCTTACCCATGTTCACATGGAATGAAGTATTAAAGGAATCCATTCCACATGTTAGTGGGAGTACAATCTACCCATGAATTTTTCCTGGCATCAACCGAATTTACATGGTGGGGATGAGAGCACAATCTCCATATTATCATATTATCTTCATGTTTTTACTAATCCTGCTATAGTCTATTAGCTATATTTCACAGACGACGCTGGTTTACTTAAAGGAAACACTATATTTTTAGGAATGCAAAACTGTAATCTTAACACTATAGTGTCCATGTCCCTTTAATTTTAAGTCTGCTGCTCCCTCTAGTAAAGGTTTAAATAATGTTGTTTTTACCTACCTCTTTCCAGCGCCGAGGTCCATCTGATGCAGGAATCTAATGTGCATTGGGCCTTCCCCGTAGGAAATCATTGAATAAATTTCCATTTGAACCAGTTCAATTTTTAAGATGTTGGATGTCCTCATTCAAAGAGTGAACACATCCAATATAATTTCACAGAATAAAACACTATCCAGTAAGTGCCTCTAGTCTATTAGACAGCCACTAGAGGTCATCTTAATCCTGCAATGTAAACATTGCACTTTCTCTGAAACTGCATTGTTTTACACTGCAGGGTTAAGTGGTCAGGGGTACTTCACCCGGACCATTTTATTAAGATGAAGCCGAGCAGCATACACTGGTTGCAGCTGGTCACTACACAAAAGGGATTGAACTGCATTTAGTGAAAATTCTTCTTGAAATGTTCTTTGCTATTTCCTTTGACATTGGGTAATGTGAAGCCATTTGACCTGTAGTGGATAGATACACATATTCACAAATACATTTCAGACATAACATTAAAATGCATCAAATGAATTTAATATTTCAAGTTGTAAAACCTGTAATTAATATATTCTTGTGTATTTGATTGCAGATTCAGAAATTCAGACACGGTGAAAAGTAAGTACAATATTTATATCTGATATAGCTTACCTCATTACAAACACGTGAACAATGTTCCATTAAAGCTCTAATCAGGCATCCAAGAAATGTCAGTGTGTGTATTATGGAATTACGTTTTGCGTGCAGTGTCTGAATGTGTGTATAATATTAAATTATTTACGCCAGTGCCCCTGTATGTATATAAGAGTTATATGGAGAGTATATTGTGGAACGATCTCCCGCAGAATTTAAAATCTTCCCTAAGCCTAAAGTCCTTTAAGAGATCCCTCTCTACATACCTTAAAACAGAATGCACCTGTCATGGTTGATTATATATTTCCTGCCTGTTCTATGTTAAATATTGTATTTATTGTGTATTAATATTGCTTTTGTATTTTATTGTACCCTAATTGTAACAATGCAATGATTTGTGGACCCAGGACATACTTGAAAACGAGAAAAATCTCAATGTATCTTTCCTGGTAAAATATTTTATAAATAGATAAATAAATAATATTTTGCTGTGTAAGCTTGTGAGTTTGAGTTTCTGTGTGTGCAGTGTCAATGTCAGTAAATTTCGACATCATTTTAACAAATGTGCCTTGATTTAAGCTACCTTTAGACCCAGGCCATTTTACTCACTCTTTGCATCCATGCAATGTATGACCCGTGTTTATATCTCCAATGAGTTCCCCTCAATGTACAACTCTCATTTACCATTACCTCCACAAGTTGTGTACTGTTTCCTGTGGATCTATTGGTTCTTCTCCACATGTTATTTAATAGTCACATAGTCACACCATCATGTCATACACACAGCCTGGCAGAAGTAGTGTAAATAAGGGATATCTTGTAATCTGTATTACCATATAACCAATATTTCTGCAAAGGTCAAATAAGTCAGGAAAAAAAATCTACATCTACATAGTTTAAGCATCCCTGCAAAGCTGTGTTTGCAATATCACATGTTTTTCTTACCCCATATGCTAGCTACACATCATATGTTTATAAATAAAAGTTTAACTTACTTTTTTTTCTCAAAACATAATATTATAAGGAAATCTAATGGGACAAATAAACCTTTATGCAAAATTACAAAACGTTTTTCCTGTTCATTAGCAGTCAGATACAATATGTGCCATTGTTTTGAGGAAAACGTTGTAATAATTTAAACAATGCCCATGTCCCTTATAATATTAAATACATATTATCCCATCATTATTAATATAACTGCTACAATTCATGCAGCTGTCTTGGAATTTCATATGCCAACTACTATTTATATTACTTGGTGTTATAATTGTTCATTTTTCTCCATTTTAAAGAATAGAATTTGCTTTAGTGGTTTCCTATCAATACTATTAATTTATAGCAACTGCTAGCATTTTTATATTTTAAAGGGACATTCCAAAATAAATTACCTGTTTATTTTAACGGCTATTATTTTGTTGTAGAAATGTCTGCTTCATTGAAAGCCTCTCAAGATTTAAACAATCATTATTCAGGTAAGTCACTTATGCTGTAAGTTAGTGCCGATTTATTATAATTTATTTGCACTAGTTAAAACACAGACCATTTAATTTGAACTTATATTTTTCTGATATAATATTTGAATTTGCTCATGAAGGCCTAGATTTAATTGCAGAAATAAAGTTTATCGTCTCCTGATAAGCTATTAAACAGTTTGGATCCATTGCATTACTGTCGTTACAAGTCTATCTGTAGCTGATAAATATTGGTTAATATTTATAAACTGATGACTATATTTTACATTGAAAATATTGTCTTTGGCCTTACAATTGGGTCATTTATCAAGTGCCTAAAACCCCATAAATGACCCAAATTGAACACCAATTAAAAGTTATTGATAAATGCTTTTTTCACTATATGCCCACTGGCAGCACTAGCATCCGATTCCTTATTACCTCTTGTGACTGGTGACTGAAACTATCCAGACTTATTTACTGTGCCATATCTTCTAGCTTCTTTTTGACATCAATGGTTTACTTAATGAACTTTATGAAGAAGGGTTCCTATTCAGAAAGGAGCCAGTAATGACTGGGATCAATACTACATCTAGCCAGCACTTTCATATAGTAATGACTGGGATCAACACTACATCTAGCCAGGATTTCATTGGTCAAGAAAATAATGCTTTTGAATTTGAATAGCCACAGGCTAGGAGATTTAAAGGAATGTACCAAAAGGGGGTCAAAATAGGGGAAACAGTGTACTGCAAAATATTTGCAAAATATAATAATATGCATACAGGTCTGGGAAAATTGAGACCACTCCAATTTATGTCATAAAAAGTATCTCTACATTTGTGGCAGTCATTCCATTCCATTTCATTTCAGAGTATGTTGAATTACAACACAGGCACAACTCATTCTACTTAATGAGCTACTTAATAGGTGATCACCTTAACTAAATCTTATTTAATGATGAAATGTATTAATACCATTGCAGTGGTCAGCACTACTTGCAATAGAACCAGCTGGATGGCAAACGTTATTTTCTCACTCAAAACCTTTCTTTTCAACTCTTTTTGCCAAAAGAGTTGAAAAGAAAGGTTTTGAGTGAGAAAATAACTCAACAACCATACAATGATACCAAGTTACCTATAAAAAGACTCCCAAATGGCCTCTGTGGTAAAGTGCATGGTGAGGACAGTTCCACACAGGCTCCAAGGAAAAAGGCTGAAGTCGTACAAAACTGGAAGAAAAAAGCCCTTCATATATTACAGCTGACAAGAGCAGGCTCCAATTTGCAAAAGACTACGAGGATTGGATCAAAGAGGACTGGAATAAGGTTATCTTCTCTAAAGCGTCCAATTTGTAGCTTTGTCTAACACTTGATCGTCTAATGGTTAGACGGAGACCTGGAGAGACCTGCAAGCTGTCAAGATACAAGTACCTAACACTGAGAGTGTAACCCAAAATGTAAAATATAAGAGCATATTACTGGTCCAGTGGGCAAGCTATGAATAGTCAAAGACGAGCCTGAAATTGGCATAACAATAGACCAAAACCTGGTCATGGGTACCAGAAAGTAGTCTAGTCAAATGTAGCCTAGTGAAAACTGGAAAATACAGTTAAATTATATAAAGGCACTATTGAGACCAATATAGGAACCACAACAGGGTAGAGAACAAAGCCCAAACAATCTATTTATAGTGTTCCTTATTAGGCGTATAGCTACGCTCCCAAAATGTGAAGTGCCATTGAAAATTAAGCAAATAAGCGGGATTTACATTATGATGTGCCCATGTCGAGTCAGATAAGGGGCAGAGTCACATCATTCGGAGTCCACATCTCCAGAGGTGCTTCCAGAGGTTTGAGGAAGAGCATGGACTCCCTCCAGAAACACCATGTGTATGCCTTGAGGAGTCCAAATCGAGTGCCTTTTGCAGTACTTTGGTAGAAACATTTCACCACAATTTCACAAATTAAGTGAGAAAAGGTCAAATTCGAATCATGAATCAAAAAGAAGATAGTTTGTGATTTGGATACATTTCAGTTCAGAGATCTGGAATTTGACTGATCAACTGATAAGCCCAAATTCGGACAAATTGCAGTTCAGACTAAAACAAATCTTCAAGTTGGGGTAAATGGTGCCTACAGTTTACTATGCACTGAAATCTCCAATCTGACGAAAAATGCTTTCTATTATTGCTTTTTATTATTGTTGCATTTCTACTGATTTTGAGTTTATCCTCCTTGAACTAAACAAATACACAACACTAAGGTTAGTTTATCATATTCTTTTATAAGAGACCATTTATTGTGTATACTCATTACAGTGTAGATTCAGACACATACTAATGTAGCTTTTCAAACACAGATAAACAGAGAAGGCATTGAATTTTTACCTTTTGTTTCAGCTGTTGAAAGGAATAATTTAATGAGGCTTGCACAGACCATACCTTTTACACCCGTGCATCTCTTCGGTGAGTTTTTTCTGTACATTGCCTTGCTTCTATTTTTGCATTGCTTCTATATAGCATAATTGATTGCTTTCTCAGTGCAATTTTTCTTTTCTATAAAAATTTAGAAACTCATGCATTTTCTTGACTCATCTTGACCTGTATAATTGGTTTGCATTGTAAAAGTTTTAATGAGCAATTCATTTTTCTGCAAATGTCATATGTAATAGCATTATGTTGGAATGACAGCAATGATGACTAACTTAAGACCCTGCTCACAAACACTGGCAAGTTTTGCAGGTGTATTTACATTGAATCTTCCTACCTGTTCCTTGTTTGGTTGAAGATTCCCATTTAGAATGACCAGACAAGTGGTTTAGATGCATCCTATCACTTTGGAAAATAGCCCTTTTATCCCCCACCTGACACCCTCTGTCTAATTTCACTACCACCCAAATGCAAAGCAAATGAAGATGCCAGAAAATGTTCTCTGGTATCTTTCGTCAGCTTGAAGATCCTAGTAGCTAAAAGATTCCAAGTATCCAATCAGGCTTACCTAACCATGATCTCTCATCATACTAACATCACATAATGAAGAAGACATATTGCTAGATATTTATTTGTTTGTTTATTTTACAGTTCTTATATTGCATACATTCAAAGTATTCGTGTTTAGGAAAGACAGTCTCTATTGGGTGCCTGAATCTCTCTGTCCCTCTTTTCTATCCTAATTTCCATCTTTTCTAAGAGCTCCATATTATTGGTGTGTCTGAGTGTAAAACAGCAATAATACTCACAGTAATATGTCTTTAAACCAGAAAAAAAGATGTTTAGAAACCAGCCTGTTTAAATAAGTTATATTATTATTGTTCTAAATTACATTTTTAGTTATTTAGTTCATTATAAATTGTTATTAGTAAGTCACTCGTTGCCCATTTGAAATGTTGGGAGGTATATATACTGCTCTGATTTAGAAAGCATTTCTAATTTTTTTTTGTAAATCAAATTTTATTAAGGTTTTTTGTAATAAGTTGCTTTTATGCATCCTTTATGGACTTAATATTGATGCATGCAAGTACCTATAATGTTGAAGAGGCATTGAGTCTGTGCTCACAGGCACTGTTTAAGGTAATCGCAAAAATAGAATGTCGGTACATTCAAGTACCCAGGGCCGTCTTTAATACTGCCCAGGCAGTGTGCAACCATTTGCTTGGGGCCCCTGGACCCTGCCAGACATACTAACACACATACACAGAGACATACACTGACAGACATACTGACACACACACAGACACATACACTGACAGACACACATTGATAGACATACTGACACACACACACAGAGACATACACTACAGACATACTGACACACACTGACAGACATACTGACACACACGCAGACACATACAATGACAGACATACTGACATACACAGACACACTGACATACACTGACAGACATACTGACATAAACTGACAGACATACTGACTCAAACACAGACACATACACAGACAAACATACTGACAAAAACACAGACACATACACTGACAGACATACTGACATAAACATACACTGACAGACATACTGACATATACATACACAGACATAATGACATAAACATACACTAACAGACATACTGACACAAACACAGACACATACACTGACAGACATACTGACATAAACATACAATGACAGACATACTGACACAGACACATACAATGACAGACATACTGACACAAACACAGACACATACACTGACAGACATACTGACAAACAAGACATACTAACACAAACACAGACACATACGCTGTCTGACATACTGACAGCTCCTTAATGTGAAGGCTGGCGGCGGCAGCTGGGCCTACGGGGGCCTACAGGAAAGCTGTCTTGGGCCCCCCAAGAGTAACTGGGCCCGGGACAGCTGCTCCGTTTGCCTCGCAGTAAAGACGGCCCTGCAGGTACCCATGCAGAAAATAACAAAGTATGTTAGAATGCGCAGATCCCATCAGGCTAATACAGGCTGGTGTGAAACAGGTTCAGGAACAAACAAAAGTGTGGATATCCTATTGCAGAGCACCGATGGGTGCCTTAAATGTAACAAGCCAGGTGTCCTTGTCGCGTTGGTTCAGGGTGGGAGCACTCTCTCATCAATCCTCCCAGTTTCCCAGGGCATGGATGCTCCCCCCAGGCTGCGGACACAGGTCTGGCTAGAGGTGGGCACAGAGGAGGTGGGGGGCTGAAGGAGCGAGGAGGAATTGGAGGAATTGGGGGCAAGGGAAGAAGGGATGAAGGAGGAGAGGGCTAGTGCCCGGGTCGGGGTTAGGCTAGTAGTGTGGTTACTCTCCTGACTTACCCATCAGTCTGACCCTTCCCTGTTAATTATTGCCATAAGGAGTGGGATCCATTGGATTCATATTGCCATGTATGTTTGTGTTTTACCTTCAGCTAGCATGATGAGCTCCTCAGCATTTCTAAATCTTAACAACTGATCATAGGTATTGTTACAAACAGAAGGATCAATAGACATAGTGACAGAAAAATTAGCAGAAAGCGCTGCCGTTGGACTTTAATCCAACTCTCGTAGAACTTTTATATAAAGTGCCAAGTGAGATCCATCCATGAACTTACAATCTAAATGAAAAATGTGCATTGAGATAAAAGGTAGAAGGGGAGAAAAACAATATGATGAGTATCATAGCAAAGGCTTTTTCATGTGTGTAATTGGTGAAATGGTATTTGTGTTTTCACACATTAAAAACATGGTCTATAAATGCATGTGAGTAGGTGGATAAAGGTTTGCTGCAATTTGCAACCTCGAAAAGGGAATGAATTAAATCCATATTTTATGATTAACAAACATAACATTTTTATCATACTGTATCACTAAAATCCTTTTAACAATGGTCATGGTGGTATGAATCTGTATGTTCAGTGTTTCTGTCTGAAACACTGAACTAAATCAAGAAATATGAGTACCAATAATTTTCGGGTGAAAATTTCTCAATGTTTACAATAAGACCAATCTATCAATATCAGGGTAACCATTTTTCTCATATAACATTACTTTCCAATATTCAAATCTGCAAGTTCCTTGATGATGGAAAAACTTTCTTAATCCAAAGCCCATTAATGGAATTTATTGAAGAAGAGACCAACAACTTGCTTAACTGGACTGTGCAAAAGCAGCGGAAACGAATAAAATAAATACAAAGATAGTATGCATACACCTGAGAGATAACTGTGATTTAGCTGCTCAAAAAGGAAAATAAGAAAAAACTGTCTGCTATGTTTCATCTATGATACTAATGAAAACATGTTTACATTCCAATTGCTTATGTTATTAAAAAGCTCACTATAGTATGCAGAAGACTCACAGATTCCTGTTTCCTAAAAAAAAAAAACGCAAATGAGCTGAGAATTGCATATTCATTCTTAAAATTGTTGAATCAGAACTAACTTTGCAGTAATCCTTCAACTTAGCCACCAACAAGCACTTGGAGATCTGGCTTACAAAGCACCTGTTGGTAGGGTCCACATGTAACCTGGAACACACTGGCCTCTCTGCTTCTAGAGATTAAAAGCTAAACTGAATATGAGATTGAGAGAAGTAGCCAACATGTTCTCAACACATCTAGCCTTGTTAGAAATATTAAAGTCATAAACAAAGCAAAACAAATT